CCCTGCCTGTCCCGCCGCTGCCCCTCGCAGTCCCCCGGCTCGACCCCTCTCAGCCCTCCCGCTCGCCCTCTGCCTGCCCTGCTGCCCGCCCTCTCTGTGTCCCCCTGCCTGACCTCTGCCCGTTCCCCTGGCCGCCCTTGCCTGGCCCCCGGTGTCCCCTGCCTGCTGCCGGGCTCACCCGCACGCCCTCCGCCTCGTCTGCTCTTCCCTCTGCCTCGCACCGTCTCGCCCCTCCCGCTCTCCCTCTGCCTGCCCTGCTGCCCGCTCTCTCTGTGTCCCCCTGCCTGACCTCTGCCCGTTCCCCTGGCCGCCCTTGCCTGGCCCCCGGTGTCCCCTGCCTGCTGCCGGGCTCACCCGCACGCCCTCCGCCTCGTCTGCTCTTCCCTCTGCCTCGCACCGTCTCGCCCTGACCCTGTCCGCTCCTTCCCTGTGTCCCTGTGCCCGGGCTTCTTCCCGGGTTGTGCCCCGCGACTGCCCTCGCTGCCTCCCTCCATCCCTCTGCGGCCTCCGTGCCCCGCGGCTTCCCTCCGTCGGACCTTCCAGCCGCACCGCGGCTTGCCTCTCTCCCTGTGCATCCCAGCTGTCCCTTCTCCGCCTGTCCCGCTCCATCTCTTGCATCCCTTGCCTCATCTGCCTGCCCTGTGCATTCATCTGGTTCACTGCATGCATCTGTCTGTTGAGGCTTGCAGTCGCCCGTCCTCCCTTTCCGTTCGTTTCCCATTTATTTAGCTTTCATTCATAGTGTTGGCCTTGTCTGTTTGTCCACTGCGTGCAACCTCCTCCCAAGCGTGCCTGTCCCCTCGCTGTCCGTCAGTCCGGTTACTAAGTGTGCCATCCATCCCCACGGCCATCTCAGCCCTGTCCAGCCATCGCAGTTATGTGTCACCGAATCCCTTCAGTGTAGCTTTCCAGCAGTTTATCCAGGCAACCACTGTGCTTATGAACTTTGCACATCTGGCCATAACACCGTCGCTCTGCAAATTAGCTCTCTCCTGTCTATCTGCCCATCTCTCCTTTCCTTCATCGCTCTATCGCTCAGTTCGTTTTTTTCTCTCTCTATCTTCCTGTGGCATCTATATATCATTTGTCCACAAAATAAATCTCTTTCTATCCTGTATACTGCCCACTCATCTTCTTTATCTACCCTCCCACTTACCAAAGGCATATACATTTACAGTATCTATGGGATCTGTTGCATTATACATATGCTTGTTATATTCACATACAAAATTTATGGGCACACACAATCTCACACAACACAAGTGATGTGGATCGGTGCAGCAACACCATACTGTTCTTTTTCTGTCACTGTCGCCACAGTTTATAAAGAAGTTGTGTATTTACTAGCATGCAAAAGGCTTTCTTAGGGTACATTTTTGGGTTTATTATTTTTTAATAGGCTGTTCTTGGGAGATCTGGTGTGGGCTTGTCCTTCCATTTAGTATTCAATCAATCTCTGGCTTTTGTAACACTTCCAAAATTGACTTTATGTAAAACGTAGGCAAACACAGTGAAAATTTTTGTCCCTGAAATATTACAAGGTACGGAATGGGCCCTGGAGGCACATTTGAAAGGCATCTAGGGTAACAAATGAAGACACCGACTATGCAAAAAATCCCATTCAGAGACTGACAAAAATAATAAAGATTCTTAAGAAAAGAGAAGGAAGAAAAAAAAATATCTACATTTGGCTCTGCACAGAAAGAAGCGAAACAGATAAGGGCAGATGAGAAAATGCCTTTCCAGCAATAATTTTAAACAGCGATTGGGAGGCTTTGATTCAAGGACCAGAATTACAATCTCTGGTGTAAAGGCCAGCTTGCACATTTATCACCTACGCCAAATTCGGTTAGGACCTGTAGTACAAAATTGCAGCAGGGCCACTGGTATTTCGGAAACATTTCATGCAGCCAGGCTCTTTTGTTTACAAATAAGGGGTTGTGTCAGACATTTGGTGACATTTGGTTTTCCGCGATAATTTCGCTCCTTTAATTCTGGTGTTATTGAAAAGCGTATTGAGAACAGTCAGTAACGGCGGTACAGCGAGAGCGACCGCTTCATTGCCTCGCCTTGTACGGGAGTTTACCGTTTCGGGGCGAAAAGGCAGAGATGCAAACGCTTAATAACAGCAGATATTCTACCAGGCTAAGTGGGGGTAGCATGATCTGCCGGACAAGCAGGCACATTACTGAAATATTTTCCCCTCCGTCTCATGAATCCTCTCTGTTAAACTGCGACGAGAATATGTGAAAATCGAAACAAAATCCCTGGTTTGGCATTGGCGTTTCAGTGGTTATTGAAAGGGCTCTCCCCGTGAGAATCGGCGGGTAGCTGAAAGTTAAAACTATTCTTAAACTGACGAGATAGCAGAGTCCGAGTGCCGGTCTTTTCAAGGTGCTGCCCTAGCGTCTTTGAAGCTGGCTGGCTGGAAAACCCCCATATTCTGGAGAGCTCTTTCTGGTGTCTGTGGATCTGACACATCCGACTACAGCCCGGTGGTGGATGTTGCTGTGGGGAGTGCCTTTTCGATGCGTTTCGATTGCAAATTGGGGATATCTGATTCGGTGCGTGCCTTCTGGCCGGCACAGCCCCGCCGCCGCTCCCTCGATCCGCTGTGCTCTAGCGTTGTCCCTGATTCCAGAATGGCACACAAGCTAACGTTTCCTTTTTGACTTAATCTTGCTGATCTCTCCTTATCTTGCAGACGATCTGGCCTCATCTAGAGTCCGCCTCTATTTCTTCATCTCGAATGAAGGGAACCAGAACTTGTTTGTCGTTCAAGCCAGCCTGTGGCTTTACTTGAAGCTGCTTCCATATGTCTTAGAGAAAGGCAGCAGGCGAAAAGTAAGAGTCAAAGTCTATTTCCAAGACCCGGACACTAGCAACAAGTGGAATGTGGTTGAAAAGAAAGTTGATCTCAAAAGAAGTGGTTGGCACACTTTTCCTATGACAGAGGCGATCCAGGCTCTGTTTGAGAGAGGAGAAAGGAGACTGAACTTGGATGTTCAATGTGAGGGCTGTGAAGAGTATTCAGTGCTGCCAATTTATGTGGACCCCGGGGAGGAATCCCACCGGCCTTTTTTAGTGGTGCAAGCCCGCCTCGCCGATAACAAACACAGGATCCGGAAAAGAGGCCTGGAGTGCGATGGCAGGACCAATCTATGTTGCAGGCAACAGTTTTACATTGACTTTAGACTCATTGGGTGGAATGACTGGATCATAGCACCATCAGGTTACTATGGGAATTACTGTGAAGGGAGCTGCCCGGCCTACTTGGCCGGCGTCCCGGGGTCGGCTTCCTCCTTTCACACCGCCGTCGTGAATCAGTACCGAATGCGGGGGCTGAACCCGGGCACCGTGAACTCCTGTTGCATTCCAACCAAACTTAGCACAATGTCAATGCTGTACTTTGATGATGAATACAACATTGTGAAAAGGGACGTTCCCAATATGATTGTGGAAGAATGTGGTTGTGCTTGATTTAAGGTGTGTTTTTTGGGGGGGAGCGAGAGAGAGAGAGAGAGAGGGCGAGAGAGAGAGAGAAACATTCCCGTACGAGATGGTGTTGGAGGAAGTTTCACTGTGTATCCAGGCATCAGTGTTGGAAAGTCACTGTGGAAAAGTTTGACAAAAAAAAAAAGAAAAAAAAAGAAAAAAAAATCATTTCACTTTCGTGTCAGGACAGTGGCAGTTTGTGGATCTTGGACACTTATATATTCTACCACTTATAAGTTAATGCTATGAAATATCTTAAAGACACACACACATACATGCGCGCGCGCGCACACACACACGAAACGTGGGCACGCACACAAACACGCGCTCATACACGCACACAGACACACACACGAGGCAGCTCGGAAAAGGGACATGAGCACAGAAAGTCAGTGACCAGTGACGACGGACCTAAATGCCTGCCAGTACGAGTGAATGGCTGAGCAGCTGTTTCCCCGCCTGCCGGTGAAGTCACACCGCAATGAGCTCCCTTTGCTCAGGCAAAAGCACAGACTGCGAGAACACGACGTATTCTTGCACGCAGGTGTCGAAATGACCAAACTTAGAAAATTAAAAAAAAAAAAAAAAGAAAAAAAAAAGAAAAAAAGTCGACCGTCACCTCTTAGGTCTAACGGGAAGCTGCAGGACACCTGCCTTGGGAGGTATTCACTTCCTCTTTATTTAAATTTATCTAAATGTAAACATCACAGATACCCGCATCTTCCTACAGCACTTCCAGTAAGGAATCGCGTGGTACCATCAGAGAGAGAGAGAGAGAAGGGGACAGACGCGTAAGCAACTGCTGTATTTCTAACATCTGACCGTTGCGAAGTCACAAGCTGGGCTGGCGTGATCTGATGCTTTAACTGCCCACTAGCGACCCATGGATGGCTGTACCTGCCGTGTCTTGGAAAAGGGAATCCGATACTGTATCTGGACTGTGTTGACCGTTGGCATCTCTCACTGTTCGGAGAACGAAAAGTTAAAGTTGCAGTCTGTGTTCTTCAATGGGGGACTCGGCGAGGACACGTCACGTGGGGGGACAAGCAAACAAGCAACCGCCACCACGACTAAACCAATGAACCCTAAAGAGGAGTGACAGTAACAGAGCGGAGACGTCCTGAAAAATGCAGTGCTTTTAATAACAGGCGAGGAACATTTTAACAAGTCTTAGAAAGGAGGAGAGAGGAGAGTGCTTTCAATTTCCTTACCAGGAGGTGTCGAGGATGGCCATAAAGATCAGAAAATAATGATACAGCATAGCACTTGCAAACTGCTTGAATGCACGTATAATAGCACTTGCAAATTTCAATGCCTTGAAAAGTGGTACTTGATAGTGCACTTATCTTTGCTCACTATCTAGGTAAACAGGTGCCGCATGAGCTATGCAATTTAAAGTGTTGACCCATACTAGACAAAACTGGACTTATGATATGACTTTTTTATATTTTTTTATACTTGAAATTAAATCTTTTGCTTCTTTTTTAAAGCGAATGATTGCTTTTAATGTTTGCACTGATTTAGTTGCATGATTAGTCAAAAAACTGCCATTTGAAAAAAATGTTATTTTTATAGCAGCAAAAAATGAATACAGTTAAATGTATTATACATAAATTTTGGAACCAAAGAGGCCAACATATTAGTTATAATTTTTATGAGATGGCAAAGCCATCATATATCATGTAGTCATACTGAGCAATCCCTCACAAGGCCTACCAATTGTTTCAGGGTACAAAATGGATTCTGTTTGTTCTATTCAGTGTCTTTTCTATACCATACGCACATGGAACGTAGAGTGAAAAAAAAAATGACTATTGTAGAATACATTACAATATGTGCATCCTTTAAATCCAATTTTTATGTTTATTTAATAAAGTTCCTTTTAGGTTCTGTTCCATAATAATTTAAACCAAACAATTTTCACTTAGATTTGCTGTTGAAGTATTTTACATTTGTGTACAGTTTAAATAAATAAAAAAGATTGAAAACTGGATATGCTTTGCTTTTTTTTTTTTTTTTTTTTTTTAGCGTGTAACATCTGGAGAAACTTGCTTGCTTTCAGGACTGAACGCGGCTGCAGACGGCGAACTGTCGCATTAGACCGTAGTCGTATTAGTCATTGCAGAAAGCCTTGTCTGAGAGCTCAGCTGCGATCCTAAAAATGTTACACTCTGGTTTTGTTGCCGTCTATGCATGTCAGCATCTGCTTCTTTCTATCTGCATCAGTGCAGGGTATCTGGGCGCAGGAGCAGCGCTGTTCCGCATACCTGCGGGTCATTTACAGCAAGTTCCTGGTTCACCTGCTGTGTAAGAATGTAACTTCTTGTCTAGGTCACTCCCTGATCGGTTACAAGAAGCAAAAAAAAAAATTAATGTGGAAAGCACTTCCAGGAAAAAAAGGTCAATACTAAGTTTGATGAACTTACTTTTTTTTTTTTTTTAAAAAAAAAAAAAGTAGCTGGTACCAGGGAGAGGTTTTTTGAGTTAAATATGTCCCCTTTAACTAACAAAACCCAAAGATGTTGAAAAATACTCATAGAAATTCTTGTCAGCTGCGCATATATCCAGATACTGATTTCATTGATCTTCACAGATAAATTCTTCCTCCTGGAGACCTGAGCAAATGCCAGCTGAAGCTGACAGAAGAACCTCTGTTGACTTAGCAAACGTTGGATCTGACCCTGAGACCTGGAAAGTGTTGAAGAAGCAAGTCCTTGCCACTAATGATGGGTTCTAGTTACAATTTACATTCGAGCGTAGCTCTGCCCACCCCTCCCCAAAGCCAGGCACTGGGGTTAAATGGCTTTGTTTCGGGAGACCTCCGGGAGCAATTTGCTGTGGCTGTGTCAACAACCTGCTGCACAGAACTTTGTCCCCTAGACCAAATTTTTTGAATATTTCATAGCTTTCTCACCACCTCGAGTGCCACTTTTATCCTCGAAGCCACCGCTCGCTGCTCCTGCTCCATCCCTTACCAGCCTTCTCCCCTGTCTTTGTTCCCTGGGTCAGCTGTGCTGCTGGTGAGTTCAATACAGTCCCTTTGAAATCAGTGGCAAATACGTGTCCCTTCAGTCTGAAGGCACATTTGACCTAATATGGCACAGTCTTCGTTAATAAGACGGCTGCGCTTTTAAAAGTGGGATATATTAGGGCATCTTGCCCATGGAAATGCAGGACCCTGGAGGCTGGGTCCGGTTAGGTTTCGTTCTTAATTGGAAGTGGTTGGTTTCTGGGGTCAAAGCCAAGCCCTGTGTCAGACACTGGGACTCGTGTGCTCTCCCAGGAGGAGAGCGGAGTGTCTCAACCTGGGCTTTGGACCCATAGTGCCGGGGAGCCGGTAGCTGCTGGCAGGCAGGATACCATGGGCTTGGGCAGCCAGGATCAAGGAGCAGGACTGTGCTCTGCATCCCACTGCAAGCCCACAAGCACGCCCAGGATCCTGAACTCTTTTCACAGAGACCAGCAAAGAACACCCCTTGTCTTGGTAGAAAGCTTTCACCGCTTTCTTCCCCTGCTCCCCCATTTGCAGCTACAGCCCTGATGTTCATGGGGCAGAAATCAAACCGCAAAGAAGAGCACAAATCAGTATGGTGTGAGGGGCACCACCCGGGAATGGGAAAAGCTGGATCATAGTCCAGGTTCTCAAATCCTTTTATTTTGTGTGAAATGGTCTCTGGAAATCAATCTGAACAGAACACGCTTTGAGTTTTCTGCGGTGTGGAGTCACTCACTGCTCAGCACGCTGCAAACGGTGAGGTATTCCCGAGTCCTGGGGCCAATAGCAACCTATCACACAGATTCCTAAGGCTAAAATGAAATAAAATTTAAAAGGCCTTTAATTTTGAGGGGCCAATCTGAGACAGTTTGGGCTTGATTTTTCAGAGATGTGGCTGCTCTTGCCATCTTTTTGCAGGGGTCTGCAGAAACACTGCTTTTTGCAGCTTCCACCTCCTGCATTTTTGAAACCGAGCAAAATGAGGAGTGAGAGGCCCAGACTTGATGGCTGCTTTTGAAATCTTTGTCCTTCAAAATATTCTAACACAGGCAAAAGCCCCGGCCCTGTGCCTGGATCTCCCACTGGCGTTAGTGAGGATGGTGTGAATGGGGTGACTGTCACGATGTGGTGCAACAGAGCACTTGGTGGCTTAACTCTGCATACATCACGTATTTCCACATGTAATAGACACCTTCTCCAAAACTGCCAAGTCTCACCTCCTTTGCTTGTTACTTGTGAGAGATGAAGTCAGCAGCTGAAATTAATTGCTGCACTGCCCCCGCCTTGGGAGAAGAGGGAAACCCCTCACTGAATGAACCCTTCTTAAGAATAATATTTGTTTGGATTGGTTTGTCGTGTGAAGGGTTGAAGAACAGTTTGCAAAATGGATCAGAAATACAAATTTTTGTCTAGGAGGAGAGTCTGTTTCTGTTAATACTGGTGACAGTCTGCGGTAGCCCCCCTAAGGTCTGCAGATGTAATTCAGGCTAGCACCAATATAACTAAAGGCATACCTGAGTCTGTTTTTCTTGAAATCCTGATTGGGCCCAGCTCATTCTCAGTATTTCTAAATTTTTTTTTTTTTTTTTTTTTTTTTTGCTGTAGCAAAACCCACAGATGCTGCATGACAGATCAGAACAAGAGGAGAAGACACCTAACTTGGTCACGAACACAGGGAGAATCTCCCTGCGTACACTGGATTTTGGCCAGGAATTAGCAATCCCTGTCGATACAAAACACCCCAGTAGCTTTCATTTGCTCGCCCAGTCAGTACCCTTGAACCAAAAGCTGGATTTACCTGGCTGCTTGTAATGGTAGGGGCCAATTTTATTTGGATAACTTCATTGATTTCAGGGGAATTGTTTCTGATTTGTACTAGAATAAGTGGGAGCAGATTTAGGTTCTTTAATGTTCTTCCAGTTTAGCTCTTGGAATAACTTATATTTCATTATTATGTGTTTATGTAATTAGTGCAATTATATCAAATTATATAATTGGTACAATTACTTGGACTCATGTAACCACTGCATATAGCATTCCATGCTGTAAAATCTTTTACTCTGGAAAAAAAAAAAAAGAAGTCAATATTACATGGGAATCTTAATTTGTTTTTAAATTCCAGTATCAAATTTAGGCCCTGACCACATGCAAGGAGCCTCTGGTTCACATCAGTGGAACCTCTCTGAGCAGGCAGCCTGTAGCCTTCATCATAGATATTGGGTTTTTAATCTGATTTGGCCAATTCTATTCAACAGAGGCCCTCCTTGAACGTGTGGAGCTCTAACCAGTCTTCCTTGTACAAAGCAGAGATGTCAAGTTTTTACACACGCACCACACACCCTGAGAGCTGTGAAGCCATCAGTGACCTGAGAATGCATATATCTTCCTTGTACTTGATCAGATTTACCACCTTTATGATCTGCCATTGAAAATGCTAAGCCAATACTTTTATTAAATTCACAGTCTCCTTCTTTTTGGTCCTTGAAATTGTGGTGGTTTTTTTTCCCCACTATAATTTGTTTTCAGAGTACATCATTGTGAAAGCTTGGAAGCAGAGGGGTCAGTGTAGGAA